AGAGTCAGAAACAAAACGAGATCCATAATTTTCATTGCGGACTCAGAAAGATATGAAAGTTTTTCAGACTAATGAAAAAGTTTGACGTAAATCTGCGTGACTTTTATGTTACGCAAGTCACAAGTATAATTTGCTTACATTTTTTGAACTCATTAAGGACTTCCATGCTCAATTTGCTCTCATTATACTTAAAAACCAATGATGTTTTGAGTGTTAAAAACGGATTGATGAACAAGTCTACAATCAAGGTATTAAATTGTAGTCCAAAAGAAAGCTGAAACAAGTTCAGGGAGTTTCATTTTTAATCTAGCAAGATTTTTTAAAATTGCCATCAGGAATGGAAAATTTGTTTGGTGGAGTGAAATTAAATGAATTGGATTGGTTGCCAAAAAATGCACCTTACGTAGAGGTTGAACCAAAGCATGTGCAAATAATCGGAACTCCTACAGAATTTTACGAAAAATTAATCGTGAGATGTTTTATTTTTTTATTAATCATATATATCGGAAGGGAAAAAAGTTTTTTTCTTGTAAAAAATGAATTATGAATGTTTATTTCTTTTTAGAATATATTGAACGGATATTTAGTTGATGAATAAAGAAAGTTTTTCAGATACTGAACTGACCAATGGACTAAAAAGCTATTGGTCAGTTCTGTTTAACAGATTGTTCTCAATTCATATTTCTATTTCAGGTATTAATTCGAGGAGCAAAAGAAAGAATTGTGATTTCGACGTTATATATGGGCAATAGTAATTATGAAAATCAACTAGTACGTAATTCGATATTTTTAAAAACATACAAAATCTTATCCTTTTTTATTTGAAAATTATCTTAGAAGCCAAAATTTTAGTTTTTCAATTCATATTTATTGCAAAAATGAACTGGTTGCAAAACTAATGTTTATTTGTTCTTACCATGGTCAAAACTAACTAAAGTATTTTTTTCAAGTCAAAGAACAGTGGTATAATTAGTAATATAGATTTTGTGGTTGCATGTATAAAAATGGGATGTTTCCCACGTTATACAGGCAGATGAATTGGTAAAAGCATTGGATATTAATCCTGATATGAAAATGAGTATTCTTTTGGATTGTTTAAGAGGTACACGTGGTGGAGTAAAGAATAGTTCCATATCATTGCTAAAAAGGTGGGAATGTATTTTTTTATCTAGTATGAAAAAATAATTTTTATATAAGTATAGTCCTTTGTTACATGCTTATGTATTCTAAAAGTACTCATTAGTTTTCTATTTACTGTCAATTTTGGTTATGATTACATCTGTACTACAAATTGGATTGGTTTATCTTGATGCTCAGAATTTTTAAGAATTTCAAACTGTTTGTGATTGCTAGGTTTCTACAGTTGTTAGCATCGTCATTTCTTCAATTAACTAATTTTTTAGCAAGCTCTTGATTAGTTTTTTCACTGCCTTTTGATAGATTGGTCCCACGCGCGTCAGTTTATCTATTTCATACTCCATTTTTGCGTGGTTTAAAGAAAATGATGCTACCGGAAAGAGTGAATGAAGTAGTTGGCTTACAACACATTAAACTTCTGGTATTCGACAATGATGTCATCATTACTGGGTTAATTTTTATTATTCAATTTTATATAGCAGATTGCAGTGTAAATATTTGAACATAATTTCTGAGATGCTTCGTGTCAATAGTGAGGCGAAACTTCAAATCGAAGGGTTTCAAAAGAAAATAATTATCCTCTCAACTACCAGTTACAGCTAGTTAATAATTCTTGATTTTAGGGCTAATCTTTCGAAGACTTATTTTACGGATCGACAAGATAGGTATATACTAATTGAAAACTGTCCGAAATTGGCAAATTTTGTGCATTTATTTGTTGAAGCTATTGGATCAAGTTCTTTCAAATTAAATGTACAAGGAACCATCACTTTAGCCGAGAAATGTTTTGTTCATCCTTTTAAAGGTTTCTTTCAGAATATGGTGATCATATAAATTGTGAAATAATATTAGGCATACGCTGTGACCTTTGATATTTTATTAATGTGACTACTGTTGTTGCTTTCTTGCAGTAATCAAATCATTTCATTCTCTGGGAAAATAGAGTTTGTTTTGTTATTCGCAGTCACGTATAATTAAAATACATAGTTTTTTATTTTAAGAATTTTTTAGACTCCAGAATCAGTTCTTCTTTTTGAAAAGCTTTGATAGAATCCGAACTGTTTATTGTTTTATGCCCAAATAATCTCGCATTTTTCGAAGACAGTCATTTGTTACTTTTATTTATTTTTATTCTGTTTGCTAATTATAAATTTTAGGAAGTCTGACTGCATACAGAAAAATGTTACGTGAGAGGGTAATGACTGCAATTAGTGTGCTGGAAAAAACTAATTCAGAAGTCGATTATAGTATGGGTACTCGAATATATCCTTTGATACAAATGAGTGTCGCGTCAATAAATCAGGAATTTGAATTTTTGAAAAGTGTGTTATCAAGACAGGTGCTTATCTTTAAATTGTAAAGTTGGATGAAAAAATCTGGTATTATTTATGTTTTCATTAATTTTCATGATAAAATTTGTCATTGCTGTTGCTGCTTTCAAAAACTCCTATTAATTACTTTACAGAATGATCTGCTTTCTCTAACGTTGTCATCAGGTTATTTCAATTTCACAGACAGTTATATTAACTTTATAACCATGCACAGATGTTACGATATGGATATTGTTTATGCATCTCCTCAGGTTATTTATTTCATTAAACAGATTTAAGGTTATGTCATCTTAGTTTCGTAGTGTAACATATTTTTATTTGGTTGTTCATTGATTCAGGCAAATGGATTCTACCAAGCTTCTGGTTTGTCAGGTTTCATACCACTAATATATGTATTCATTTCGCGTCTTTTTTACAATATAATGTTACCAAAAGTTCGGTTGTTCGAGTATAACAGACCTGGGTGGTCGTATCATGTAAAGGGTATGTGGGTTGATATCAAGCGCTCAGTTTTTTCAGCCACACTAATTGGTTCTTCCAATTTTGGTAAGTTTTATATGAACGAATTGCTTAGATTGTTCATCGTTCATCAATCTTTAAGCCTAGTAAAGTAAGCGAGAAAGCTCAAATCTGCGAAGTGTTTTGAAAACATGTTTAATTTTAGTGCATCATTATATTTTTCTTCCTTTGAGTTTTCACTCGGTGCCGTTTTTTATTCTTCACTAAAAAATATGCAACTTATACTAAACAAATGCATTCTCAGTTTTTAAAAAGCATGCATCTAATTTTGAGTTAAAAATTTTACAGGTCATCGTTCTGTTCATCGCGATTTGGAAACTCAGTTTCTTATAGTTACGGATGACGAAAGATTAAAGAGGAATTTGAAAGAAGTAATATTTATTAGTTAACTCTAAACGAAAATGCAAGACTCATTTTATCTGCTTAGATATTGTAGTCACAACGTTAGGAATCTTAAAATTGTTTTGCTTCTATGAATTTGAAAGAATCGTTACAACCCTTGAGCTCCTACATTATTGTTCATGTTTTGGATTATTGTTTAAATTGTGTTTGTGTGCGATCAAAATCGTATTCTTAAGGAACGTTTACGAATGTTGAATTATGCAGCAAAGGTGGATTCATCAACCTTTTTACGACGAGATCACCTTGTTCCATTCTGGATTCGCTGGATCTCACGATTTGTCCGGAATTACTTTTGATGCTTTAATGCCCAATACTGGTGTTATTTTTCAAATGTTTTATCATTTTAGAGTTTTAGGAGTAATCAGGTAATAATGGCTCACTCATTATCTAATATCATAAATATTAATATGTTATCTAATTTTTGTATTTGCTCATTTTATCATATTCTTTATTTTATTCCAGTGATTGTAAAGATTATTTTCCACTTTACTATATTTTTGTATTGTTATTTTGAGCTGTTTTTTTGTCATTGATCATTCATGATGATTGATGGTGAATTTTTACTAGCTTTAATGCTTTTTTTCTGCTCTGTATATTTTTTTTTGTCTAAGTTTGCCAATGAACATAATTTATTCATATAGTGCCTCAACTGTTTGTGATTAAAATCATTGTTACTATTGAATTTCGATTTGCAGTGAAAATGTGCTTCATATATCCCTTACATGATGATAATTTGATTTTATCTGGAAATTTTGCATATTATTGGGAATCTGGGTTCATGTTGTTATCATCAATTTATTCATTCTTTATATTTGCTTGAACTCTGGATAAGAATATGGAAATATATTGATCTGGAATTCGAAAAATAAGATAGTATCGTAATTCTAATTCGGTAGCAATAAATAAAGGAGAGTGTAAAGGGTCCTTTAATTTTGTATTTGTATGTGGAGTTTGAATATGAATTGTGAATACGTGTTTTCGTGGGTGATGGTTGTAGATTGATTCCGTAATATTATATCTGTGTGGATGTGAAATCAAAAAGGCCCAAAAAAAGTAGTAATATACTTATTTTATGCAGGTAATGGTACTTCTGCAAGGTCTTATATGTGGCCGGGTTTTGATGAATTCTCTAGCTCAGAAAGGTGCAGCTCCTGTAGTAGCCACTTCACATAGAGTTCGTACATTTCGTAGAAAGGGAAATCATCACAGAAATGACGACGGTGCAGTTAATCCATATGAAGCTAGTGAACTGCTACAACGATTGGGTGGGTGTTCTGTTCGTCATTTTTCTTCCAAAACTAGTGCTTCAGCATCTCAATCGCTTGAAGAATTATTGAAGGATGAAGTTTGGTACTCATTTGCTGTCTTGTTTCCTAATATTTGTTATTATGAATCTGCATATAGCACTAATAATTTTTCGAACATAGGAACTTTAATTTTTTTCCTAACTTTTAGTTGCATTAATTTTAATGTCAAAGAATTAAGTCTAAACTTCGGATAGTTTATACAAGTTCTGAAAAAATATTTGTACATTTAAACTGGGAATTATGGTTAAATTGCGTTAGTAAATCTAAAAATTTTACTGTTTTCAGAAACTTCCATAAAATTTGATTGTTTTCGGCAGTTATAAATTTTTTGAAAATGAAGTTTGCAATATCTTCTGAATGATCTCGTAATAATTCAATTTAAGGATACCGGTATATCGTTTTCGTGGAATTCATTATGGCGCTTTGGCAACAAAAACAAAACTAGCATTGACAGTGTCAAGTATAGCTCTGGTTCCATACAAATGGTGGCAATATTCTCAAGACAACATATCGTCCGATCAACTGTTATATGTTTTGTCGTTTGCTTCATTCACAACTTTGGCACTGTTTTTTCTCTCCAGGTAGTCTTGTAAATTAATTTGCGAAATTCGATTAAAAGATTTGCATTTTCCAACTGTAGGAAAGATTTTTTGAAAGAAAACAACCGGATTTATTTGAGTTGTCGTTTGTTTTTAACAAAATATCTCCAATAGTAATTAAGAGATTTGGCTATTAAAAGCAATTCAGTATTGCTTCCTAAAATTTTAGGCATTTTCACTGATTGTAATATGTTTTAATGTTTTGGACATTGGAAATAATATACGCTTGTATTTTCAGGTTTTTTGGTCGTATGATTGGTGTGATTTCGATGAATGCAACAAACGATTACATCCGTGTTGGTTACCTTTCATTCTGGGGAAATCGGCGTAACAAATATATGAAATTGGAAGATGTAGTACCTCTTAATGAAGCAAGTACTTCTATCAGTGATAAAGTGACTCGATTCCAACAATATGGATCGTACGTATATTCTTTCAAATTCAACTTTCTTTACATAAGTTTAATTACTACAAATTTTAGAATATCAACTGTAGTACATCGTAATTTTATGTGTGAAGTATTTTGTTATTGCAAAGTTTATCATAATGCGTGCTCAGAAAACGTTGAAAAAATTTATAATTGTAGATCTATTTCGTAACT